TCACTGCACAGAACAGATGCCGAGAGAGGTGACACTTCTCCGGGAAAGTCAGACCTCGCGTTCGCGGGACAGCACTGGCAAAATCTTCCAACTGAACCATAGCTAAGGTTTATCCAAAAAAGTCGCTAGGTTTGTCAGTATGAATATTCTATGGAAAAAAGAAAAAGTGCTTAAGTCGCGCTCATGTGTTTGAGAGACGCGGGAGCTGATGGCAGGGGGGCGGTGGATATTTGTGGCGGTCAATGTGGATATTGTGGATGAGTTCTTCTGTGTCATCACGTTCTATTAGTTCTACAGCTTCAGTTTTGGAACTTTCACGCTTGGTAACACACAGCTGTGCCCTCACCACAGTGCAACAGGGAAAAGGGACCCATTTCAAACAGTGTCGCGTTCCAAACGTTGTTTAAGCGACATGTATTGCGGCATTTTAAAAATTCATATCATAACAAAAATAAACACCGGTATTCGGTATGAAGCGGTATACCGACCGGCTCTAATTAGTTGTTGTATGCATGTATTTATTAATTAAGCTTATGTGGCATTTGTAGTTTGTGGCGTGTGTACATCTTACTGCTGCTTTGGTTATTGCTCGTATGTCTATCTGTCTGCTTCTGCTTTGTCCTGCTTCAGCTCAGAGGAGTCCTATGGGTTTGCCAAGCTTACAGTTTCTGACAGGTCAGTTTGCTTTTGGGGCTGCATTTGCTTCTTTGAATGGCTTTTGTGGCATAAGGAAGATGTGGTGATATACATTTGGCAGCACTTTTTCTGTATTTAAAAGTTTTCCAGTTTCGAAACGTATATATATATTTTTCTCCATTATTAAAATCCTTTGTCTCATTTTAATATTAAGGAAAAGCTTAATTCTGGTTCAGATTTCGATTCCATTTAGTGATATTTCATGTTACCTTATCGCTCTCATCACATTCAGTTCTGTCCCCATTGCCAGAAGAATTTGGGGAGTCGTTGTTTGTGATGCAAAAAATGACACCACACCTTTTTACAGTTGATACATTTTTTTTTGTTAATTCCTGTTTTATTCAATTAATGCGTTTATTCTGCATAGGACAAAGTCAAAATCTACCCCTGCACTTCAAGGCCTTCGCAAACAAGATGCTAAAGGTGTGATTACTTTATATTTTGGTTCTTTTTATTTGAAATCCTGAATAGTTGAACACCAGGTACAGTTCTCGTCTTCTCTGACTCATCTCTTCATTTGCAGCAGGAAGCGGTAAAAAGAAGGGACAGCTGTCACGGGCAGAAAAGGAACGTCTGCAGATCCTGGAAGAGATGAGGAAGAAGACGCAGCTCCTCACTGACAACAGTTGGATCCGTCAGCGCAATGCTAGCATCAACAAAGAGCCCATCACTGTGGGAACATCAATCAGGAGGTCCTGATAAATAAACATTTTCCTTATATTGTTGAGCACAGATTTTCTTTGTCAGCTCTACACTACCATTGACTAGTGTGACACATGGAATAATGACTACTGAAAATTCAGCTTTGCATCACAGAAATAAATGCAATTTTATAATGTATTCAAATAGAAAGTGGCTATTTTAAATGCATAATATTTCACAATATTGCTGTTTTTACTGTATTTTTGATCAAATAAATGCAGGTTTGGTAAGCATAAGAAGCTTTTTTTAAAACATTACAAAATCTTCCCGACCCCAAACTTTTGAATGGTAATGTGTCCTGGTTGACAAAGGAAACCACATCATTTTCAATCTGAAAGTCTTTTAATGTCTCAATCTCTGCATTACAGATATGAATCTCTGGACAACCTCCACTCAACCAACTCCTCCTGGTCTAGGCAGTCCTACACTTCAAGTGTCGCAAACAGGCCCCATTCTGCTTTGGGAAACCCTGGCACTTACAGGAGTGGACGCAGCAGCCTGGGCCCTGATTCAGCCATCTTCTCTACTGGTCTTAAGCAGAGCTCCAACTCTCCCACTCCACCAATCACAACTATGCCTGAGCCATCAGTGCCTAAGTCCCGTCCAAACTCTCAACAACGTGGCAGGTGTGGATTAGTCCTGACCCATTTTTAAGTGTGGTATTTCAGAATGAATTTGTGCTTTGTCTTTAGTGAATAAATTCAAAGCATTGAAACACTTTTAGGCCAATTTTGAGTGTAGCTTTCTTTTTTTTCTTAAGAAGGATTTCACTCTACCTGACCTTTAACCCCAGGTATTTAAAAAAAAAAAACAGTGGCTATGTTCTGAATGGAGTACTAGTGTACTGCATACTGCAGTATATACTGTAGTGTACAGTTCACAAATTTGAGATCATTCAGTATGATTTTATTTTTTATTTTTTCAAGAAATTAATAATTTTATTCAGCAAAGATGCAACAACTTGATTAAAAGTGACAGTAAAAACGTACATTCTTAAAGAAAAAAAAGCTGTTCTACTCAAAGAATCCTGAATTTTATTAATGTTTTCAAGAAGAAAACTGTTATTTCAAATTGCCATAATATTTCAAAATATTACTGTTTTACTGTAATTTGATCAAATAAATGCAGCCTTGGTAAGAATAAAGACTTATTTCAAAAACATTTAAAAAAATCTTACAGATCACAAACGTTTGAACAGTCTACAGTTCACAAATTTGAGATCATTCAGTATGATTTTATTTTTTATTTTTTCAAGAAATTAATACTTTTATTCAGCAAAGATGCAACAACTTGATTAAAAGTGACAGTAAAAACGTACATTCTTAAAGAAAAAAAAGCTGTTCTACTCAAAGAATCCTGAATTTTATTAATGATTTCAAGAAGAAAACTGTTATTTCAAATTGCCATAATATTTCAAAATATTACTGTTTTACTGTAATTTGATCAAATAAATGCAGCCTTGGTAAGAATAAAGACTTATTTCAAAAACATTTAAAAAAATCTTACAGATCACAAACGTTTGAACAGTATATGCTGCAGTGTGTATTGTATTGTATACTGCATACAGTTAAAAATATACATATAAGCAAATGAGTATGCAATATTCAGTATTTCTTGCGACTAGTATTATGCCACACTGCCATACATAATGCATAAACCTCACTGCACTGCTTGCTAAATCATCTTGGAAATACATAGTTAACTGAATCTAATTTTGTTTAAAATGTACATTTTTGGCTGTGTTATTAAATATGCAGTCAAGGTAGAAATGTGAAAAATTGCTATTGCTTCTAATTTTTACACTGAAAACTCAAGTGGATCATATTGCATTGTGGGATACAGTATTCCACACATCATGCTCTCATTGTGCATGCTTTGTCAATTTGGGTATTTCATGCATACTGAAACTTACTGTGTACAGTATACATGCAGTATAGTATGGTAGTATGCTATTCGGAATCTTTCAATACTCTGCCACCAGCCTCCCCATGTTAAATGTAGTTGAATCAATGAAGGGCAGAGCAATGCTGTCTTCTATTTGACATTGAACTCTGACACTGGCATGTGGTGCCTGTAGGCTGGTCAGTGGCAGGCGGATGTGCTCAAGGTGTGAGCGGCCTCTGGGGAAGGGAGCTGCCATGGTCATCGATTCCCTGGAGCTCTGCTTTCACATTGGTTGCTTCAAGGTGAGACCGGAGGTCACCTGAAAATGAGAGTGAGCGGGCACTCCATGGATCTATTGCACCTTGCCTGGGTTTTTAACCTTCATCATTTGGGGCAGCATGAGCTCATTAATCCCCTAATATCAATAAATTCTCTTTTTTGGTGTAGGCAGTCAGATTACAAGCATGCAAAACAAATTAGAAATGGTGTATTTTATTTACTAATTTAAAGTCCTAATTTTGAATCCAAGGAAAAATTGTGTAAGGGAATATATCAGAATCATTCCAGTAGTTCTTTAAAGGAATAGTTCACCCAAAAATGAAAATGGCCATTAATTACTTTAATTGTTACCTGTAACACCTTTGTTCATCTTCGGAACACAAATTAAGATATTTTTGATGAAATCCGAGAGCTTTCTGACCCTGCATAGACAGCAATGCAACGGACACATTCAAGGTCCAGAAAGGTAGTAAGGACATCATTAAAATAGTCCATGTGACATCAGTGGTTCAACCTTAATTTTATGAAACTGCAACAATACTTTTGTGTGCAAAGAAAACAAAAATAATGACTTTATTCAAAGATTTCTTCTCCTCCCTGTCTGACATGGACTATTTTAACGATGTCCTTACTACCTTTCTGGGCCTTGAACGTGTCAGTTGCTATTGCTGTCTATGAGAGTCAGAAAGCTCTCGGATTTCATCAAAAATATCTTCATTTGTGTTCTGAAGATGAACAAAGGTCTTACGGGTTTGGAGCAACACGAGGGTGAGTAATTAATGACAGAATTTTCATTTTTGGGTGATCTATCCCTTTAACTTCTGTTTTAAATCTAAGTTAAATTGAAATTTGTTCAAATTGAAGTCCAGCCTGCTTTCTGATTGCCTCATTGCCAATAAACTTGGCAAAATGAACACACCTTCTGGCTAACCTCAGCATAACCAGTACCGTTGCATCACCAGAACCCTGCCAGTCACTGATCACACAGTCTTTTCCAATCAAAACTATACTGTATTTTCCGGAATATTATTTTTTTTGTTTTTATCATCTGAACAATGCAGTTATGTGTCATTACATATGTACATAAATATTACATTATTTCAGAATACTACAGTTATGTATTTAGTGAGAGAAGTCAACTTTTGTTCTGGTATGACTTATAGTCAGGTGTAATTTATTTTTCAGAAAATACAGTATTTGCTTTCCTTCTAATGAAGTTTGTCCCTTTTAGATTCCTGTGTCCGGTTGCAGGGGTTGTTTTGTTTACGGTAGCTCCTTGTTTCTTCACTGCTGCACAGGAAGGTTACATCACTGCTTCACCAGCCTTCACAAAAAAATCACTTTTTTAAATCTAGCTATGGTGGAGGGTCTGCCCACGCTGACCCAATAAACAGTATTTCTAATGAATGAATCATTTTGCCTGCTTTGGGAAGCTTTGGGGGCTTTGGAGTGGGGAAAAAAGGGTTGTATCCTCATCTTGATGTGTGTCCAGACTCGCTGTTTCTTGTTGATCTTGCAGTGTGTCAGCTGCAGGACTGACCTTGGGAGAGGGGCTGAGTCCGGAGCTCAGGTCAGAGTCAGACACGGACAGCTCTTCTGTAACACCTGCTACAGCAGAGTCAGAGGTAAGCAAGAACCAACGTGCCATTTATAAAACCAGATTCAATTCAGCGGTTGCTTTGAATAACCATACTCTGAAATCTATTGAGAATACGAGCCTGCAGACTAGCCTTTATTGCTGAATGAAATTACACTGCTAATGGTGCTGGGTCCTGATTAAAACCAGCCTAAATTTAGACGTAAAAAACTACTGCATCTGAATATGATACAGGATTACTTGCCCTCACATATGTTATGTATTGTGTTGTGTTATATTATATTGTTATATTATATTTAGTGTTGTCAAAATTAGTGCGTTAACACAGGTGAATAATTTTCCAATTTAACGGCATAAAAATATTTCAGGAAAAACAAATGAAAGTAATTTTTTTTAACTGATTGACAGCACTAATTTTGTTATTATATTATATTACATATTAAGATCTTATGCTTATCAAGGCTGCATTTATAAAACCAGTAATACAGTGAAATATATATTTTAAATTAACTGTTTGCTATTTGAATATTTGTTGTTGTTCTGGTGTTTTTGTGATGGATGGCGTACCAGGTGCAGATCTGCCACTTACTGGACTTGAGTGTGAAGCACTGGATTTTTGGCTGAACAGTTCCTTTAAGAGTGGATTACTGGTTTTATTGACCTCAAAGTGAATATTCTGTCTTTTATTTACTCGCCCTCATGTATTTGGTGTGCCTAAATCAGTCAGAATGATTTAATGAATAGACCTGATTTTGACAAACTCACAGAACAGGTCTCATTGGAAGGGACGATCATTAGTGAATATAATTCTGTTTCTCACAAGAAGTCAATTTATGGCTACAGAAGAAATGGAATGAAAATTACAAGCTTGGGATATTAGCAAGTTTGAAAGCTCAAGTCACCATTCTTTCTAAATACATGGGAATAAATGTCAATGTCTTCTTTTTTTTTGTACTGAAAGAAAGAATATTATACGAATTTGGAACAATAAGATGGTAAAGACCTGTTTACACCAAGAACGATAACTATATTAGCGTCCAAACTAAGAACAGATACAGTTCTGTTCATACAGTAAGCATGCTGCAGTTTTGTTGTCTGTCACTTTAAATACTCAAGCTTATTAAACAGGGTCTATTCTGTTTGCCTCATTGTTTTTATGGATCATAAACTGGAAGAAATCTTTCTGAAAGTGATTCTAACGATAGCGTTCCTCTGTGCCCTTATTGTTATAGTGGACTTCACTATTCTCATCAAATTAAAACTTCATAAACTGTGATAAGAAAATGCTATTTTGATGAACAGATGGTGCTCTTCTGTCCCTCTCCGTGCATGCAGATACCTCTTCCCTCAACAGTATGTTCTTCCAAGAATTGTTATGGAAGTCATGACCTTAGTGCACTAGCCGCAAGGGTTCACATCGCCCATAAAGCACAGCATTCCGTTCATGCGTGCAGTCAAGTCTCAGATGTGTCCTCTTGCTTAGTTTGCCAGTGACGCTCCGTTCATGCAATCTGAGCTTAATATCTGCTGGCTGAGGTCAACAGACTCCCTCTGAGAGACCCAGGGACAATTGGAATCATTCTTCAACTGATTTAAATACACCCAAATAACCCTACAATTGAATTTCATATATGGAGACATAAAAGCCAGCCTGGGTCACATGATACTAAACAAAAGAAGGCCACACAAATCGAATAAAGTCTTCTATAATGGTGCCTGCCTTGGTTTGTTTTTATTTGATCCCTGTTCGCAAAAGTCTCCCTATTTATTAGAATAACCTATTTTAGTCCTTACTTGTTTTTCTTTGTTCACGTTGGCATTTAATCTCTCTGTCTGTTGTGTTCAAGACCTGTATATTTTTACCATTCCCTTCAGCTAGTTCATAACATGACCTTTTTAAGGGCACGGTAGCACTTCAATGTCTTTATATGGGAGTGCTGTGAGTTTGAATTTATTTAGCGTATTCTTTACCGTCATGGCAGATCTAGGACTGTCCCTCTAAACCCCAAAGCGGAATAACAGTTCTCAGCCAAATCTAGGATGTTCTGTTTTCCCTTGCAAAGCATATCCGCAAACAAGAAGCAGCTCGTTTAAGCTTGGGAACAGAGTTTGTGAAATGCAAGACGGTTTGGAAAATACCTCCCACCCCCAAGTTAGCACATATTGTGGTCTTTCTGTGTATCCCTCAGATAAGGCCTCTCAGACTATCTATTACAGGAAAGTATGAATTCACATACAATTGTAGATTATACCACAGATCAGTGGAATTGTTGCATAGATGAAGGAATGAAATATAAAAACCTCATTGGTCTCACTTTCCTGTTAATGTTTTGCCTTTTGTGAAAATCGTATTCCTGGAAATCCATGTAAACTGCATTGTTCTGTGTGGAAAATACACATCGCTGAATTTCCCATAACAATAAATGGAAATGCTTAAATTATAAACAACGTGCAGTTACACGTAATGATGAATGACTGTTAACAGTTCAAATGTAAATAAATGTCCTGTAGGTCAAACTCCATTTCTCCAGACTGTCTTTTCTGGGTATTCAGAAGCAAATGAGATGTATGACAACGTACCATTTTAGAATTTTTTTTGCATAAAACAAAATTACTCAATTACTTGTGTCTGTCCGCTAAATGATTTATTTGTTAAGTATGCAGTATGTTCTTCCAAGAATTGTTATGGAAGTCATGACCTTAGTGCACTAGCCGCAAGGGTTCACATCGCCCGTAAAGCACAGCATTCCGTTCATGCATGCAGTCAAGTCTCAGATGTGTCCTCTTGCTTAGTTTGCCAGTGACGCTCCGTTCATGCAATCTGAGCTTAATATCTGCTGGCTGAGGTCAACAGACTCCCTCTGAGAGACCCAGGGACAATTGGAATCATTCTTCAACTGATTTAAATACACCCAAATAACCCTACAATTGAATTTCGTATATGGAGACATAAAAGCCAGCCTGGGTCACATGATACTAAACAAAAGAAGGCCACACAAATCGAATAAAGTCTTCTATAATGGTGCCTGCCTTGGTTTGTTTTTATTTGATCCCTGTTCACAAAAGTCTCCCTATTTATTAGAATAACCTATTTTAGTCCTTACTTGTTTTTCTTTGTTCACGTTGACATTTAATCTCTCTGTCTGTTGTGTTCAAGACCTGTATATTTTTACCATTCCCTTCAGCTAGTTCATAACACATGACCTTTTTAATGGCACGGTAGCACTTCAATGTCTTTATATGGGAGTGCTGTGAGTTTGAATTTATTTAGCGTATTCTTTACCGTCATGGCAGATCTAGGACTGTCCCTCTAAACCCCAAAGTGGAATAACAGTTCTCAGCCAAATCTAGGATGTTCTGTTTTCCCTTGCAAAGCATATCCGCAAACAAGAAGCAGCTCGTTTAAGCTTGGGAACAGAGTTTGTGAAATGCAGGACGGTTTGGAAAATACCTCCCACCCCCAAGTTAGCACATATTGTGGTCTTTCTGTGTATCCCTCAGATAAGGCCTCTCAGACTATCTATTACAGGAAAGTATGAATTCACATACAATTGTAGATTATACCACAGATCAGTGGAATTGTTGCATAGATGAAGGAATGAAATATAAAAACCTCATTGGTCTCCCTTTCCTGTTAATGTTTTGCCTTTTGTGAAAATCGTATTCCTGGAAATCCATGTAAACTGCATTGTTCTGTGTGGAAAATACACATAGCTGAATTTCCCATAACAATAAATGGAAATGCTTAAATTATAAACAACGTGCAGTTACACGTAATGATGAATGACTGTTAACAGTTCAAATGTAAATAAATGTCCTGTAGGTCAAACTCCATTTCTCCAGACTGTCTTTTCTGGGTATTCAGAAGCAAATGAGATGTATGACAACGTACCATTTTAGAATTTTTTTTGCATAAAACAAAATTACTCAATTACTTGTGTCTGTCCGCTAAATGATTTATTTGTTAAGTATAGTTTTGCATGGACAGGTCATCTTGTGGCTGGACCTTAGAAAAGCAGTCATGAATGGGGTTTTGGCTTTGGCCTCTGGACAAGCCACATTTAAAAACCTCCAAGTAATGACTAGTAACAATGTCCACTCACATGAGCACTCTTACAATTCTGCATCACTTGCAGATTTCTTTCTTCAGTTGATATTAATAAAAGTTTGTAAACTGTTCTAGGCTGCGGTTTAGTTCCAACACGCATACCTGTAAAGAAGTTTTCATATCAGACTGAAGGACTTGATCAGCTGGTTCAGGTGCATTTAATTAAGGTTGAAGCTAAACCAACACTACTAGAAGGCAAGCCTGCGACCTTTAGCCAAAAAAGTGTAATGGCTAATGCTAACGGAAAGTAGACCAGAGGCGGTTTTTTTTTTAATGGATGTCAATGGAGGAGAGGTTTCACCACGCTGAATAAACTGCTTTTTAGAGGAAACAGCTTATCATTTAATGAATTGACAGCCTATCAGCTAATCTTCAACATGTTTTACACAGAAAAAAATGAATTTTATAAGGGAAGTCACTGACTTTTTGCGACAGGTGGGATTCAGTTTGCGACACTTCTCATTCATTCCTATGGTATCTGTAAACGGCAATTGAGTGTCATATACACTCTTAAAAATAAAGGTGCTTCAAAAGGTTCTTCAAGCGATGCCATAGAAGAACCATTTTTGGTTCCACAAAGAACCATTCAGTCAAAGGTTCTTTAAAGAACCATCTCTTTCTTACCGTTTTCTAATCTGAAGAACCTTCTTTTGCCACAAAGAACCTTTTGTGAAACAGAAAGCTTCTTCAGATGTTAAAGGTTCTTTATGGAACCATTTAGACAAAAAGGTTCTTCTATGGCATCGTGAGATCAGTGGAATTGTTGCATAGATGAAGGAATGAAATATAAAAACCTCATTGGTCTCCCTTTCCTGTTAATGTTTTGCCTTTTGTGAAAATCGTATTCCTGGAAATCCATGTAAACTGCATTGTTCTGTGTGGAAAATACACATAGCTGAATTTCCCATAACAATAAATGGAAATGCTTAAATTATAAACAACGTGCAGTTACACGTAATGATGAATGACTGTTAACAGTTCAAATGTAAATAAATGTCCTGTAGGTCAAACTCCATTTCTCCAGACTGTCTTTTCTGGGTATTCAGAAGCAAATGAGATGTATGACAACGTACCATTTTAGAATTTTTTTTGCATAAAACAAAATTACTCAATTACTTGTGTCTGTCCGCTAAATGATTTATTTGTTAAGTATAGTTTTGCATGGACAGGTCATCTTGTGTGATCTTGTGGCTGGACCTTAGAAAAGCAGTCATGAATGGGGTTTTGGCTTTGGCCTCTGGACAAGCCACATTTAAAAACCTCCAAGTAATGACTAGTAACAATGTCCACTCACATGAGCACTCTTACAATTCTGCATCACTTGCAGATTTCTTTCTTCAGTTGATATTAATAAAAGTTTGTAAACTGTTCTAGGCTGCGGTTTAGTTCCAACACGCATACCTGTAAAGAAGTTTTCATATCAGACTGAAGGACTTGATCAGCTGGTTCAGGTGCATTTAATTAAGGTTGAAGCTAAACCAACACTACTAGAAGGCAAGCCTGCGACCTTTAGCCAAAAAAGTGTAATGGCTAATGCTAACGGAAAGTAGACCAGAGGCGTTTTTTTTTTTAATGGATGTCAATGGAGGAGAGGTTTCACCACGCTGAATAAACTGCTTTTTAGAGGAAACAGCTTATCATTTAATGAATTGACAGCCTATCAGCTAATCTTCAACATGTTTTACACAGAAAAAAATGAATTTTATAAGGGAAGTCACTGACTTTTTGCGACAGGTGGGATTCAGTTTGCGACACTTCTCATTCATTCCTATGGTATCTGTAAACGGCAATTGAGTGTCATATACACTCTTAAAAATAAAGGTGCTTCAAAAGGTTCTTCAAGCGATGCCATAGAAGAACCATTTTTGGTTCCACAAAGAACCATTCAGTCAAAGGTTCTTTAAAGAACCATCTCTTTCTTACCGTTTTCTAATCTGAAGAACCTTCTTTTGCCACAAAGAACCTTTTGTGAAACAGAAAGCTTCTTCAGATGTTAAAGGTTCTTTATGGAACCATTTAGACAAAAAGGTTCTTCTATGGCATCGTGAAGCACCTTTATTTTTAAGAGTGAACTGATTAAAATTCAATGAGGTCGAGGCTGTAATGGTTATTAAAGCACAGGTGATCCAAGTTAGCCGTTACACTTTCTCCAATAGTAAGTAATACAGACCCTCTCATCTCCCAATAGTAAGACAATCTTGCTAAACTCTGTAGGACTAATGCTGCATTCCACTTGTAGTCATAAGTTGGAAATTCCGACTTCCCAGTAAGAACTTTTAACCAGACAGACCCCCAAGTCAGAGTTCCGACTCGGAATCTCGGAGGATTCGCAACAACTCCAACTTCAGAATCCAGTATTGCTGCTCAGTGCATTAACAGAAGAGAAACAGTAGTAATATATTGTTTATTTGCACTTATGTTTGTATGTTCAATAAACTCAGTGGTACTATCCAACCTCTATTTGTGGACATGATGCTATGGCGTTATCTGTGCAAAATACTGTTTTTAATTGGCTGGTTTTGCTAACAATGAATGTGTCTATCTTGGTTTTCTGACTTCTCTTCTGGAACCAGCTCCGACATCCAACTATTAAGGTAAATAGAATGCAGCATATGGCCCCTCCAGGAGTTTGACACCCCTGTAACAGTCCTTGTATTCATGTTTAGGTGGTTAATTATTTTCCCCATATTTTCCCGCTAAAAGTAGTAATATGTCCACCAGATGCACACTTCAGAATCTCACCAGGAGTAATAATTCATCTGTGTAATTTTCACAATGTTTTATAGCATAGTAAGGAAGTATGCATAGTATTCTCAGCCTTTGATTTTATTTGATTGGCTGGCTTCTGGGAATAAGGGCACACAGGTGTAGTTTATCGGTCCATCTGAAAACATTGTCATACAGGTACAGCGAGTACTTTTGTTTTGTGAAACAGTCTGTAGTTTTCTGTCTGTTGTATTATAATAAATGACATGTATGAGCAAAACAAACTGTGATTGATGGATTCACAATTTACACTCTTAAAAATAAAGGTGCTTCAAAAGGTTCTTCAAGCAATGCCATAGAAGAACCCTTTTTGGTTCCACAAAGAACCATTTAGTCAAAGGTTCTTTAAAGAA